ACTTTTACACGTGTAAAAAATCCCTTTCATCCTCCTCCACATGCTGTTAACATGAATATTAATATATAAGATTATTAATTTTTATACATCATTGCCATCCTTAGAAATTAGTTTAACTAACTGTTAGCCACACTCGCAATGTCGCAATAATTAGAGCTAAGAAGGTGTCGGCTGGCTGAAATGTAACGTAATAGTAATTCGGCCGTCCTTAGGTAACCGCGAAATGGAAACGGAGACAATACAACTTAACCTCGCACTGTAATAGCAATACCCCACAGCCGGAGTCAGGATTGGGCGCGGTGTTTCTAGGCGAGAGTCCTCGGGGCCAAATCGAATTGCCTTCCATGAAGCGGAAGCACATCGGTTTACTTGCAGATTTCTCGGCTGTGTTGGTTGCCACGGAGATCATGTACTGCACGAAGCTCAACTTAGATCAAGTTATAATCACGTCAGATATTCGTCCGTTAACATATAATTTACCATCCCATACCAATTTCACCCCTTTCCATTCCCGGCTCTTGACCAGATTTCCACAGTAACCATCTATCATTGGACAAGCACTGTAGATTGTTCCGGTGATATCTAGTTTCTGTGTCAACGGCATCTGCGACGTAGCTCCGCCCTGCCCCGTGAAATGTCTTTGTCTTCCGAAATCTCTCTCGCATTAATCTTGACCCTCAGCTTCCTAGTTCCTTCCCGAGCGTAATTCAACATTACACAAGTTGTTACGGATTTTTGATCTGACACATTTTCTTCACAGTTCAATTAATATTTCTCACTTCTCGTCATTATCCATTTCTTGCAAATATTATTTAAGTGCTAATTCTAGAAGTTTGTCTATCCGTATACATACATATAATTCTTGTATTGAAAAATCTACTGTATACATGAATTTTATTTACAAATTGTTCATGGTATGCGTTTGCATATGTATAATGGCATTAACGTGATACCTTTCGTGCCATCGTATCGTCGTGAACGGCCAATATATTGGAAACGAGCTTATAGCGTCGTTTTTCTATTTTCAGTTCGCTAAAGGTGACATGGCTGACGCGTCCCTATGAATTTTGCCTACATTTTGTACGCTACGTGACACCCTTTGCACGTCGTCCAAACGACGTCAAATTCTTTCCTCTCTAACTCTGGCAATGATTTTTGGATACCCTTATAAATCTCAAGAATGTGCTCAGTCACTACATAGAAAGTGTTGCTTTTACCCTGAATACGTTGACGCTGCATTAAACACCACACGGATTTTCTGCTAGTACCAACAATCGTCCATTTACAAATTTGTTATCGTATTTAATTATAACAGAATTTTAAAAGAAATTAAATAATCTCTGTGATATTAAAAAAAAATGCAAATTCTCTGATGTATGCATAGTGAAATTTTTTAAATAACTGAGCCGAATCATTCGCGGAAGGAGTCACGGAGATTGTTCTCCTCTCTGTATTTCTCGATGGATCTGTAACATCGAATCTCGCATTCTGTAAATTTTAGTCGAACTGAGATGGAAGCAGTTGGTTGGTAACGAGCGGAGAAACTACCTAAAACGGGCAACGCAACGAAGCCGTATTTGTCTGCGGATAAGTAAAGTCCGATCGGCAACGATAATACTGCAGATTATAGCAACTTGCTGGAAGCGACCGGTGAATCTCATAATGCTTAAACATAATTTATTACGTATCGCGTTTAACACAGATACGTTAATATTGTGGTTCGAACAAGTTTCGCGGCTATCCACGTGCCGGATAATCGAGAGTTTACTATTCCTGCGGCTGAAACTGTTTCCTGTCCCTCCCTTTCCCCCTTGTTTCTGTCTTCCATTCCCCACCATCAAGTGGCTAAGTTCGTTCTCACGTATAAACGACAGGGGGTGGGAAGATGAATACGTTTAACGCTTTTAATTTGATAGGATATGAAAGAGCTCCGGCACGGAGGAAATTTCCGTGCGTTTGTCGGCAGCTGTTATCGTGACGGGATTCGAGTGCTTAGTCGTGTTTAATGTCGGCATGTCATACGCCATAGAATCTGTTAAAACGCAGAAAGCCACGATTAACCACCCTCGCGGTACAACATAATTCAATCTTTTCGCGTCATGTTTCAAACGCTTGTAAAAACGCAATTTACTTTATGACCACGAGCGGTCATAAACCCGACCGTAAATGTGCTCTGCTTTAATTATATCTGGTCAGTTAAGTGAACTGCCAATGCTTGGATCCAGTTATAATTGTTAATGCTTCAGCAATTAAACAGGCGGACTGGATAGGCGTTTAATCAAAGTTTACTATCGATTCTTACGTATACTATTTCTGTTCTCGAAGCTCAGAATTTTCCGATCAATGAAATGCTCAAACTTGAAGCACATATTGGGAAAAGTATTAACTATAGACAATAAAAGTGATCTGAATGTATTTATTTCAATTCTTTGAATCACAATATGTAAACGCAATATTTTTAATTTTTTGTAAATAGGTCAAACATTATCAATTTCTACGTTTAATTTCTACTATACGAACATTTTTCGTGTACAGTGTTGAATACTTTTCTTTTGTATTTATCTCCTCAATATTCCTATTATTTCCTTGTACATTTTCCCGTTCGATTTCATTTTTCTGTTAGATATAATCGAGGGTGACTCGATAAAGCAAAAGGGACAACTGAATTTACATAATTTTCCTCTAACCGGCTAGTGAAGCGTATACAGTCCTGACGCTATCATAACAAAGAGGAAGTCCTGAAGTATATACTTTCGCAAAGCAAAACAGAACTACTCCCGAGGCCATAGCACTAGCAGCGTTCGATTTGAAGAGCCGTCTAGGATAACGACACGCGACGGCTCTCCTCTAGCGCGACGAGAAAACTTCTTAACCACGTCGAGTCAGCATGATACACATCCTGGCGCAAAGGCCTCTCGTTTGCGCGCATGTTTCCGATCTAATTTGCACTTTACAGATCTCAACTAGAACTGGATGCATAGAGCTACGCTTTGCGTTTACGAATGTTAGTATATATTCTACTGTTATTAGATAGAAAGAGAAATGGTTGCAAGTAAATTCTTCCATTATTACAATTAACGTTTAGATACCTGCCCGGAAAAAAGCGCAAGCCTCAGTTTCGACTCGAAAAGCCTGAAGCGAAACTGGCTTCATTTTTTCATGCTAAAACTCCAGTTAAAGAGGAAGCCAGACGTATCTTTTAAAAATGATTCCGTCCCTGCGTAGTCGGAGATGCAAAGGGGTAAGTAGATATAAATGTTAAACGTCATAATTTAATTTCCGCTCATGCATATTTTCCGGGGTGCGCTGCACTCCACGGCCATACGCCAGAAGAAATACGCGATGATGGATGTAAAAGTCAAGAGATACAAAGCGAAATTCCCAGCATTGTCCAGGAATACGAATACGTACGAAGAACCGGACGTAATAGTACGTAGGTACGTACGTACTCGTACATGTGTTTCAAAGAAGAATTACGACGCCATTAGGGGCATGAACTGTAGAGCCGCCTCCTAATCTTCATCATTATTTTACCAATTTATTTTAATTGAGCGATTCCGGTGCTTTTAGCCAAATATAATTGCTATTGTAAATTAAAACAGACGGAGTAAAAACAACAGCAATTGTCAATAATTATATCTATCAGTAGAGTTGTTAAGTTTTGTCGCTGGACATAGCCATGTATCTTGTTTACTTAATAATCTGATATTTTGCGCATCCCAGGTAACAACAGGGATAACTCTTGAAAGACTCTTTAAAATTTATTTAATCGTAGAAGCGGTAACATAGTGAAAAAAGTTGATGAAGAAATTGTAGAGAACGGATTCCTCGTAACGAATCCTCAACAACTGAATTGCTCGAATGATTCTTTGAAGTTACTGAAGATGTTATTTACAGAATGCGCTTGAGTCGACAACTCCGATAATGGAACTCCGATCGTCGATACCAAGAATCGCAAATAAAGAACGAATAAATGTTTGAAAAATTCCATGCTGTAAGGAACCGGCGAGACTATTGTAAGTCGAAGGGGATGAAAGGCAGAGGATACCAGAGATAACAAAATATACTCGCACCTACTCTTCCTTTCTTTCTGCCGTGCGCCGTTCCATCGGGTATCTACTTTATGCTAACGCCAATTCAACAACCGACGCTGTATCTTTCTTCTTTCTTCATATCGAAACAATGATGATCGTACAATGCTAGGGCACACAGAGCATTTCAATTGGTCGCTTCTCTGCGTTTGGTTATACTTTCTAAAGTCCCGCCTTGAAATTTTCCACATACATAGCCGTGCCGCTGGGAGATCCGATGCCGTTACCCACCTCCTATGAATTCTTAGTTCGCGCGCTGTACGCCTGAATTTCTCTTTATCCCTGAAACCGGGATTGGAATGTACAGGATATATAGAGCATGACAAAAATATTCTTTGGTGTATCGTAAAAAACTTGAAATAATAAGAACTTCGGAACATGAAGATTTCAAATGTGAAGCTTCCGGCATTAGAATGACATTAGACGAATTTTAAAGCAAACGTCAAAAAAATCATTTAAGTATTAATTTCCATGAACAGAAGAACGTGAAACTATCAATTACTTTTCCCAAAATTAAGGTGAAGCCAAAATATAAATGCATTTTACTAACGCGCACGAGCAAGCAGTGAAAAATGTGTACCGTGGTCGCACAAGGATAAATCGTCGCGATTTCCTTTTCACCTTTAAACGCATCCAGCCTCACGGTAAAGTCTTCTCGAGTCAAGGATTTCCTTTTTCAAAGAATCGTTAGAGCCAGTACCCGCACAAAAGCTTACGTAATGTAGCTTACACTCCCGGCAAGTGTTTCTCCGTCTCTCTTTCTCTCTCTCTCTCTCTCTCTCTCTCTCTCTCTCTCTCTCACTTTGCTCTCGGCGGTGCTGCCGGTCTTTTCAAACCTGTTTTTAAGGTGGATCGAGCGCGCCAATAATGCCATAGGGTACAGTGCATTTGTGTTCATTTGCGCTCACCTCGCCGTAACGAAATCATTAACCTGTGTCCGCCAGACCCTCCCAACGATAACGTAATCACTCCGCCTGTTGGGTCCACTGTGAACGTTATTTAGCGGGGAACTGTGGCCAACGGGAGCTCAGTTGAAGCTCGATGCACCTCGAGACGAGCCTCGTCTCATTGTACGTTTAATTCTTCGAATAGATTTCGGAAAATTTGTAGTTCGACGTTACCTGTTTCACATCGCGTCGCGTCGGTGATATATGTTTACCGTGTACCGTGTTTACTTCGCAGAGGGAAGTTGATACGTGATAAAAAGAAATATGCCGGGAAGTAACACACCGAAGATATGGTGCCCGAAAGAGAACTATCGGTCGTGCGAAACCGATGGTATCTCGATGTCGACTACTTCCGGTTCATCGAACTGCAAAGGGTGGAAGGATATCGGGACGGTAATATATCGGGGCACGAGGGTGAAGCAACAAGGGGAGCTTCTTATCCTGGTACCATCGACAATGGTTATCCTCGACTCCGAACATTCCAGGTAACTGTCAGTTCCTCGTTTTTAAATATTATCTTTAGTAATTTTATGAACAGGGAAATATATTCTACCTTCAAGCAAATATATTGTAAAATAATGTCGGGCATATTTGAAGTACGTAAAATCTAGATAGGATGCGGAGAGTTCATATGAATTGTGTCAATACGTCTTATTTGCACACGGAATACACCGAATTAATATTTTGTTTCGACGGTTTTTTAATTTCGACATTGTATAAACATGGTTCCATTCGATACTATTTCGTGTATGTACGTAACGCAGATTAAACTGACGGACTTTCATCACGGTTCCATCACGAATCAAAGAATTTGTTCAGATAAAAATATTTTTGGCGAGAAATTCTGTAATTCTTGTCTTATGATTATTTACGATTTATACAAGTCAAAAGTGAAGATATCTCATTGTAATCAAGGAAATAAAAGAAGGAAAATCGTAGTAATCTTTAGAATTCCTTATGAATATTCACTGACTTACCCAATAGATACTTGCATAAGCAATAGAACGTAAAATTCATTATGCAATAGAATAAATTTATTATGATAGATTATGCATTATGCATATGAATTCATTATTTGCAATAGAACGGGTCCGGATTCGGACACTGATTTCACTGTCAAGAAACTATTTTATTCAAAGATGACTTCTGATAACTGCGGACAGACACTCCGGAATTGTCGGGAAATTTTCCGTCCCGGCCTATCTCGATTCCCGTGGTCGTCCTGCTGTTGTGTGGCAGTTTTCCGAGTGACGGCCGGTCTTCGTCCTTGGCCACTATGGCGCTGATGCAAGGCTCGCCCGAATTTAACGTTAGCGACGCTCTGTAGGGGTTGCAAAATGAAATAAAAATTAGAGTTTCCTCGCACTTCAACACCGCGCGGAATCCGTTGCCAAAATCGTGCAGAACTCTGCGCAGTGGACTGTATTTGACGGAGAGAACTTCCTCAATCTCCAATTTTCGCTCTCAATCGGTCAATCGACTCCACAAATAAGTCTCTTGCTGTGAAACAGAGTACAATCACACTTAATGTCTGCCCCTCTACACCGTGTAAAGGTGGAAGCTCGTAGCAACGAGCTAAGACGATAAATTCAAGTCTATTCCGACCTAAGAACCCGAGTTAAAACGCAACTCCGAGAAGCCAGTAACGCTGGACAATTCATAGCTCGTATTCGCTTCACCGTGAACTTCTGCTTGGCTGTGATTTTCTTCCGATCGGGCTCAATGCTAGCTAATGGGAAAAATAGGCATGAGATTCGCCAAAACTGGCTGTTGCATATGCAGTCTGTCAACACGGTTATCCAAACTCTCAGTGTTTCCACCGTAACGATTCGTCACAGACGGAATCGGCGCGAATCGGAATTCTTCCACGCGCATGTCGACCATGGTGTTCTGCGGAGAAGGGGTTCGCCGATCCGTTTATCACATTTATTCCTATTCCTTTTCTCACTCTACACTTTTCGAAAACCAAACGCTTCTACCCGCTAGGCGGGTGACTCATATCGCGTATTGACACTACTATACGGTGTAGTTTTTATTGCGATCGTCAAATTCGGCAAGTGCCTCGGCAGAACAACAAAAAACGTTCCGGAGGTCGTATAAATTACGGATGTCTTCCGTATTGTTATTTTTACAGCAGTTAATTCGACCCGTACCTCGGAAGAAAAATCTCATTCTGAAGATCGCACAAAGTAACTAAATTCCACGATCTGAATTATTAAAATTACTTTCCAATTTTAAACAAATTACGTCCAATAACTGAACATCAAATCACGAAGTAAATACAAACTTTCATGAAACGGTAAAGAAATGGGCAAGTTTGAGATGTCTGGTCCGTATAATTAATATTACGAAATGTCTAGTCCCCATAGTGAATAAAATAAAATAATTTCATGCGATTTGAAACCTTTTAAGTGTATTTCTGATATTAACAGTTATCCGATATTTATTGATCAACATCACCCAATAATAACCGTATTTTCTGCCATTCTTTGCACATGAATATTCTGTTTTTTTCGATACTTCGACTCACTGAACGGACTTACAAAGAAACTAGTTTCTCAACTGAAGCAAAAAATTGAAGGGAGGCCAAAGTTATCTCTTCGATAGAAAACTATCGGACCGCGTTTAACTTAGTCGGAAAAAATATCATAGGAGTAGCAGGTGTCGGTTCTCATTGTGGAAGGCGTTCACGTTGCAGCTTCTTGCAAACCTCGTTGCACGGAAATTCGCAAACGTATGCACGTGCGTGCCATTCGTTCGGACCCTACGTCTAGCGAAAGTATAAGGTACAGGTGCAAAGGGAGGAGCGACGCAATTGCGACTCACAACTACCGGCCAGGAATACATTCCTTGCTCCGCGCACGTGATCTACGGTGCACGTTGTTTCTTCGGTAGAACGTGCCATTCCCCGGCTCGTTTCGACCATTCCGATTGGATAACGCGCCCGTGGGAAGACACAAATAAATGTCCTTCTTTGCGCCGCGTTAATTTTTAACGCGTTTCCATTCCCATCACTCTCGAAGTCGATGTTCCTTCATTACGGAATTTTGGATCGACCTCTTCAGCTATCCTCTTTCAGTTTAGATTAGGATCTCTATACTTAAAAGTAAACCGCAAGAGTTAAATGTGTCATTTCATCCAAGAAGATATTTGTTACCATTCCTGTTTAAAAGGAAACCAAAATGTAATGAATAATATTAATGTAAGGTTATTTTAAACAATCTAATCGACAATTTAATTAGCACGTGTTCCGTGTTCTCGTAAATCTCTCTTTTTGTCTAACCATCAAAGTTACAATCCCGACGCTCAGCAGAACGCGGTAATATTCAAAATTGAAGAAATGGGTTTTCTTTACATTAATGGAAAAAATAATGAACGAGTGACAGTGTCCAATAAAATTCAATCTGAAACTCGGATGAAAATAAGCAATATATTTACTTAAGGGCACAGAGGGTAGCAAGAGCGATCGAAACCTATCGTAAAAGCCACGTTACGTGAAACGTCCGTTCGGCAACAGTTAGCCAGAGCAAATAATTTGAAGAGATCGCTTTCATCAAACCGCCAATAAATTCGTCGGCGGAAGCAGGATCCGAGTGAGCTGCGATATCAAACGAAGCCACGAGAACGGTTGCTCACGTTTCCATCAACGTATAAACTCGTTCTTCCGTTCTTAACGTCGAAAAAGGCATCGGCAATGGTGGCGACCCAAGAATCGAACCTCTTTCTATTTGGTCGAAAATAAATTGCAAGGAAAAGTCGGCGGTCGGCTGTTAACCCTCCCCCCTTTACCCACCCTAACGACGCATCGCTTTTTTTTTTATCCTCTCCTCTGAGATACCCGGAAGAGGAGAAACTGCCCGATGGCTGTTCAGAAGCTAGGCGACCAAAAGAGGGTTTACATTGATCGGCAAATCCCATCGGTTTTCCCATTAAATATTTACAGCCGGGAACCAGAGGTCCGGAGGTTGCCTTGTACATCCGCGTGGAAACCCGCGTTTGCGGAAATGAACACAAGCAAATCAGCAAATACCATCCTTATTATTATATGAATGTACCTACAGCCGAGAACCCTGTGATAAAACGGATTCGATAAACAAAATTCTCTTCGCATCCGATATAAACGAACCATGTAATCGATTGCTCGTTACGTTACGCCCCGCCATCCGAAAAACTCTTACGTACATAACCACTGTGTATGTATGTATGTACATTGGAACGGAGTTGGCTAACCATTACTCCGTTCACGAAAACTAATCGCGATTCGAGAAAGTAACTCGAGCCGTTCCCTGTTCGTTTGATACCGTGCAGCTGGTTAACTGTCACTTTGCCGTTACGTTCCCAGCTGCGTGCATCCCGGTGATCAATAATTTTGTAAGAGCCTCGAGCCGACACGAACTCCCACCTTTTCTGAAATCGGTTTACTTTAATTCACTTACAAGTTAACTTTCCTTTCTTGTTACTCCTTTAAGAAGAGCGTACCCATTAATTAACCGTTTCCCGAAGGAAAACCTTCGAGCAATTAACGTTTAATCGAGCGTTCATCGTTTTTATCGGATCGAACGGGACCGAGCCGAAGAGCCGGCGAACTCGCGAACAATCGCGTGCGATATCGCGAGGGTAGGAAGCAGTAGGTACGACTCGATCAGGGAACTGGTCTAATTAAGTCGAATCCCTTTTATGCTAATTCACCGGTTTCCCAAACTTCTCACCAAGTCCCAGCGAACTCTTCGGGACTTTATCGGGTCTTTACGGGTCTTAGCGTTCACGCGTTTCTCGTTATGCCTCGTCGAGAGTACCAGGAATATTTATTCGGCCGCGTTTCCGTGTACACGAGCCCGCTCGATTTGTCAAGATTACGCGAAATCGAGTCTTCCCTAGTTTGAAGAAAATAGAAGCTGCTGTACGCGGATCTGGCCACGGTTTCAAATCTCGCGACGGATAGGTGCGAGCGCCTCCCAGAAGCTCGCCACCAAGAATGCCTAAGCATTTGCATAATTGTGCGTACAAATTTCGAACTTTGCTAGAAGGATTTGCCCGTCTCACCGCGAGCGTACACGAGAAACCTGCGACCGCGGTTCCTCGTTCACAGATTCCGAATTCTATCCAATGAATTATTTATGCGAATACGCGCTGTTTTAAAAGACAGCGTAATTTCTGCCACCGCGTTTGCATTTCCGCCGCGGTTTTAGCTTTATCACGTCCCTTTACTCGATCTACATTTTTATTTCATCTACTGGTCTATACATCGCCGATGTTTATAAATATATTTTTAAGCAACGACTTAACGAGTCTATTTCTAGCTGACCGTGGAGTTAAGGGTATAGTAATTTACAATCTTGACAAAGCTGTCGAAAAGAAAAGATTAATTGCCAGATCTCTAAAAATACGACTGTAATGACATTCTACAACTCTGTTTGCGTTATTACTTCTACACGTCCTTGCTGCCTGCGAATAACTCCATAATCAATCAAATTTTTAATCGCACAATTGATTGCATATGTCGAACGCCCGGCGATAAGCACGCCGTTGTTATACTTATGCACGTATACTCGACTCGCTTACAGTTAATTACTGAAAATCGATACGCGCACGTCTAAAGCTTATTACGCGTTTCATTAACGACGGAACGATTTGGAAATATTTTTTAGAGGCATAAAATTTTCACACGAGATCCCGCTTCGCCTCGAGTCTACAATTTAAAACTCACATGAAATTTTGATATTCGGGAAAAAAGAACTTGCGCACTGTTGAACATATTATCGAGGACGACAGCGTATTCATGTCGGCGCGAAGTTTCATGGCGATTTAATATTAATACACAATTTGGCCGACTGTCTTGTAAGCGGAACCCGTGAGCTCGTTCTGCGAATACAATATTTATATGAACGTACGCCAAGGATACAAATGAGGATAACGTGGCCCGTTCCTTTTCTTCTTCGAGCATCCGCATTCGTATATCCATACACACTTGGAAGCGGAAATTCGCGTTGAAACTTCCACCGGTATTATAGGAAGCGGTACAATGAAGTAACCAACCTCTCTTACACTCGATCGAAGCACACCCCGGTGTCTCATTGCTATATTTTTCACTCCGTCAGATTTCTACAATGCATCCCAATACCAAGATCATCATCAAAAAATACTCGAGGGACGTGTACTGATTCGAGAATCCGACTTAACGATTTCCAGAAATCTTTGTCGTGGAACGGAACACAATAATCCACTCTTTCTTATACCATTATAGGAGCACTTTATACACAACACGAAGAAATCACTAAAGAACTTTATAGCTGAATTACAGGGACTTTGATCGCCTACTGCGATCAAATGCACATAAAACGTGACCGATTTTAGCCAATTTTTTTCATATCTTTCTTAGCTTGTATGCTTTAATAGTCGAAATTCAAATAATATTCCATTAATAAATTCAGAAAAAACATCAAATATGTACCGATAGGATTAACTGGTATATAAAACATGATTGATTTTAGGTCTAGCCAATCTTTCCATATATTTATATGTGCAAACCATGTATACATAGATATAGATATACTTATACATATAGTAAATTATTGATTGTTGATAAAATACAACTTATAGAGTTTTTTATCTGTCTTACATCGTTCGGAAACGTCGGCTATGTATCGATTACCCGAACTAAATTAAAGAACGTGAAACATTTATTTTCCTTCAAGGAAAAAATTCTTGCCGATTGAGAGTTTCTTAATGGCCGTACTCGAAGATTCTTCTTAAGGGTCGAGTGCACTTCGCAATCTTGGGATAACGATTAGCAAACGGATGCACCAACTGTAGTATCCATCATTTGCAATGTGGAACCGTTCCGGTCATGAATAATATTTGCATCGTGGCAGGAACTTATCCAATTTCCGATGGAATTAAAAAATGTATATTAATCTTATGCTTGACACGAACTCCGTTCAAACCTCGTCCTGGTTTAATATGTTGCATACGTATCCATTTAAAAGTTATCTAGTACTGGCTGATTCAATTTTTTCTCCATCTGGAAGATTAACCGCCGGGCATCTAATATTAATAAGAGCCACGAGCTGGGTCGATACTTTCCAAAGACCAATTCAATCTTGCCTAAATAATTCACAGATCGTATTTCCATATCTAGTCACGTTTCAGTATATCGGATAGCATAGCGCTTGAACGGACAGTGATTAACTGGCCGTCGCACAAATCAACTCTGAATTCTAACTAAGCACGAGAGTGGTAATTACAAAACGAACGACACGAGGAATGAAGGAAAGAGGTAGAAGTATTTTAATATCGATTCTAATTCATCGAGAAAAAGGCGAATAGGTACATAAAGCAGCTTCAAGTGCAGACCCTCGTACAGCGATCATAGTTACTCTTCACAATGACTGAAAGACTAAATGCCAACCTTAGACGACTTTTTCATTAAGCGCTGGGCTTGGTTTAGCGAGAAGCTTCCAATATCAGAAAGAGATTGAGTAGTAAGAAGAAGCATAAGAAAAAATATACGCAGTCCACTTCCACGCTCTACAAATTCACTACCGGTAAAACATGAAATACATGGAATCGTTTTTCCCCCTTTTATATAAAATCTTAATAATTTTCAGATTAATATAAATATTAATAGATTCCTTTCTTTCACGTTTAACGTGGCAAAGGGTTCTAATTACTTACTAATTATAAATAAAAAGCAAAAGAAATTCTCTTTTGTTCTATATTGTCCTGTCATGTAAAATGTTGTATTGTATTCAGTTAGCGGCTATAGACTTTTGGTCGAGAGTATTCGCGCGAATGATCACGCTCGCGTATGTCATTTTCTGCAAGTCCGGCGCAATCGAGAGAACACACAGGGGCACGGCATGGTGCGCCGCAACAATACGTGTTCTACGTAGCAGATCCCTGGAAACGTATATAAATATATGTATATTCGTATGATGAATATACTGAAGGAAATGCGCATGCACTCGTTTACCGAGGTAGAGATTCCAAATGCGCTAGGAGTGAAACCACGGGGGTGAATTCGAATGCGACGTATGTTAAAGAAATTCATAAACGGATGCAGAAAAAAGACATCTATTTCCTGCCAGATTTACATACTTGTACGACGTAAGGTTAAAAAATCATTGAAAACGTTCAAGTTATCATAATCACAAGTTGAGAAATTAACGACAGCACGAGTATATGTATAGTTGGTTAATTGCGATGTTCTGAAATACTTGATGAGACTGTTCACTCAAATATATAAATGTCCCATTTCGATATTAAATGCTGAGCGAAAGCAATTCATCGTTACTATTTTAATTTCTGATTATTTCAGTTTAATAGTTCGTATTTGATTGCTTTCTAATTCTTCCCCTGCAGAAATTGATGAGGCATTGTTAGTGTATTAAAACCAATTCATTCAGTCTTTAATGGAAAGCAATTAAAATGTTAATAGGTCAACAGCCTCCTATTACGTTTCTCATTTAAAATATATTAAGCATGTCGTGTATGCATTTAATATTTTAAATCCATTAAAATGGCAGTCCTTTCTATTTAAAACACTGAAAGTTGGTAGTTCATTGGAAGGCTGATTAAAATGCTATCAAAGAATCTCATCTCTACGCACCTAAGTAATTATAATTCATCCCGTAACGAACCCGCCATAGGATACAATATAATGGAGAAGTTATCTCATCATCTTATAACAAACTCTTCTTGCTTTACGCATTAGATCATAAATTATTTTTATTCATTCCACATTTATTTTTCAATATTAGTGAAGAATTTATGTTTGTACAACTGTTTTATTTACATGCCTTTCATAATAATCGTCACATATTAGAATTTGATGTTACAACCTACATTAATCAATCATCATGGAAATTCTTCGCTGTTATACCACCGCATACGACAGAGAAATATGCCAAGCATCCTTTTGAGTTACTACAGCGGCCGATACTTGACGTGTATTAAAATCCTCTTAACCGGACATAAATAAAGGCACGGTCAGCCAGGTAATCTTTGGGGAGGATTACTCGGCCGTTGCCGAGGCAGGAGGAAGAGACTCATTTGTGTCGTCGTCGGGTAAGGACATAGACGCCGCGTCGGGTTTGGGGTGGTCTGATTTTATCCCGCCCCATACCTTTGTGCACATCCACCAATTCAAAAACGTCCCTAACGTAACTGGGGACGAAGGTACCCCGTCGCGCGTCCACCCTCCCTGGCCCACGCAAATTTAATCTCTCTCGCTGGCGTCAAAGTGAATTCTATAAAACAGACCGTTTCTCTTAAGCTCTCGAGAGAGCACTTCCGTTTCGTTATTCCATTCTTCTCATATTTGACTTGATTACTCGAAAGAGGAAAGCGAGAAGGTACGTTTCTGGATGGAAGAAAGAAGAAGGACATTGAGAATGAGCGTACGGCATGGAAAGGAAGAGCGCGTCCGAATCGGTCTCAGGGATTCTCACAGACTAATCTTGAGAACGAGGCAAATGGTAACTGATCAACGGGGACGAGACGAGGATGAAAGTGGGACGTGACGGTCCAGAGTGCAATTGAATTTCAGATTTACGCCCGACGATGTAATGAGACTTGGAATTACGTCGATGCGCTACTACACCGAGTTGCACTCTGCTTGCAAAAGAACATCCGCGAGCTCGTATCTTTCTCGTCATTTAGTTGGCTTATTCGCCACCAAAATGACGCTTAGGATTCAATCACTAAACGCGAACGTATTCCGATGGGAGCGGGATTGGCTTCTATCGTGAAAGTACTTTTGATAAGATAGCTTTGATTTATATGACTGAGGAAACGCGAAAGGTAGAATTAAAATGTTCCTTATTGATGCTCCATTGGGACCGCAGCTTAATAATTCACAGCGTGTCGCAAGTTGGATTTGTAAATTCTATTTACAATGTACGACGGTCTTCCTCCGGTATTCAAAGATGATCATACGAGTTTAGTGTTGTTAAAACCAGCTCCAACTGGATTAATCCAGCATCACAATAATTGCTGTGAAGACAACGTTTGATAACGAGACGAGATTCTCCTCATCTTCATTCGCAAATATTTTGTGCTAGCTTGGTACCAATCAGAAGATAGTTTCTGATAACTGCATTTCGCCTGTTATTAGATATTATCGATCCTGACCTTGTAAAAATAAATGAGAAAATTTCCATTGACATTCGTACAATGGAAAATAATATTATTCTCGAAATCGTAATGACTGTGACTGCTCGCGAAGAAAAATTCGGAAACAGCATTTAAAACGCGTTGGGTAGGATGGGTTTCTGCAAAGCCGATGGAGTATCAAGCGAGAAAACTCACTCGATAAAATGAAAGTTCACATTATCCAAAGTCGATTAAGACAGCTCGATGGTAGGCAAGAATTCCTCATCACAAACAGGAATCCTTGATCCGAGAGCCAGATGTCGGTACACCGTCCGTAACCGGTTCGATCCGCCGTACACCGCGCACGGAGCAGTGCGCATTCCCATTGACCAGTCTGTAGTCGGAGTCGTGTATTCGGGCCAATAGTAATCGTGCGGTGCCTTTGAGAACACGGTACGATCTCTCGCCAATCTTGGTTCCCGTGGTGCGTTCACACACGTCACATCGGAAAACGAGAAGGGCGAAACGGACGAAGAAAAGGAACCTGAACGACGACGTAAAATTAGGTCGTAACGTCACGTCCATCGGTGAAGGCAGGGAAACAAATCGGTGACGAGTTACCCGTCGGAGTTGTTGCGAAGGGACCGAGGAATAGGGGACACGCAGGTCCGGACTAGTTATCTTCAGCGCCTCGTAGTCGTCCGCCCGCGTCTCCGTTTCTGTGCTGACCGTGTTCGAAAGCCGCGGCGAAGCTGCAACTCTTTTTTGGTACCAGGATTCCGCAGCGGGAGCCGCGCAAGACGAGGTGAGTCACTGCCCGTGCTCCGCTCCACGCGCATTTTTCGTGTCCGCGAAGAGACCGCGTACATATTTAGGTAACGAAAGGGAACAATTCTGAACGCGATGTACGACATTTCGATTGATGACGAACGATCTCATTACGCTATACCGTCGTCCAATCGTGGTCAACGCCGTCGTTCCCCTCGCCGTGATCCCCGTCACCGTCCTCATGGATATTTCGATTCCTGTGCCTAGATACGTTTGCACGTCGAGCTTCCCCGTCGGGTGACAACTTTTCAGCGTAGATATTAGTCGTCGGTCATAATTCGTGCTCACGATACTAATCAATGTGAGTCATCCACGGTTGATAACGAAGGTCGAACTCTAATCTTAATTCTACCCTTGGGCTACGGTTTTAGATAGTCTCCCGCCACTATTGCCGCTGGAATTTCATGTTCCATACTCGCAGGAAGCGTCGATACGATCGAGAACTCGATACGTCACAGCCAGCAACCCGGTTATACGCGATTACTCGACGGGAAACGAGGTTAGACGCTACACACGCGGCTATCCACGCGAAAAATCAATACACGACCCTCCTGGGGCCGCGATTCACGGAGCTGCGCGGATATACTTCTCCAATTCCGGGGAATCGTCCTTTCCGAGTAAAAATCGTCGCCGTTCCTGTCTAGAAAGCCTGCTGTGTGCCCCGATCGATTTCACGAACGTAACACCTGTGTGTATCCGTGCACACGTACAGACGGAAGACGCGTACGTGGGTCGGAGACCACAGCTGATCCCCATAGTTCGGTTTTCGCGGGAGTACGTCAAAGCGATGGGAACGGAACGGACACAGATCGGATCAATTTTATCGTTGAATTTTAATATTCGCGTACATCGGTTCTCCCCATTCGTGATAAATTTTTAATGCGATTTCACGGCTGCGCTCGAATATCAAATTAACGAATGCCAGGGGACACTCGACTAATACGGAAATTGGTTTATTTCCGTGCGTGAATCTATGTGCATCGGATCTTTCACTTAATCTCGTTCCTTATCGATTGTTCTTTTCCTTACGTAGCTCAGCCTCGAAATATAATACGTAAATCACTCGGCATTATATGTACGTATCGTATATATGCTAGTAATACAAATTGATTTTAATCTGAAGAATGCACATTTCTGCTTTTTTTCATGTAAGAATAAATTCGTATGAAATACAAAAGCACTTTTTTAATGACTGCCATACTTCGATTGATAATTACTGAAAAAAAATGTACGAGCGTAGTGATTTATCGTCAGCATAATATACCGATGTATTTACGACATGCACGTGACATCGCAAATCGTATATTTTTACTTGGTGAAAGATTTATAGAATCCCGATAAGGTAAAAGCCCACTCGTGCGGTCAACTTAAGTTCATAATTTTATCCCGGTGCATTGTGATTTTATTTTAACGTTCTTTCTCTATATAAAGCCACGAAGACTCGATAACCGTGACGCACGATTCCCCAGTTTCATTATAGAACGAATTTTCTTGGCTAGTATTCGTTTTAATTGGCAGGATGACCGTCGAGTGAGCGCGTTTAATACTCATTGGTGTCTTGATAGAAATGGTGTCGTGAAAAATGATCGACGCTTTCGTTTCTTAACCGAACGGTGTAGCGTGGAGAAGAAATTTCGTCAAAGCGGAAGTTGCCGTAGACGGGTTGCAGCCGGAAACACTTATGCAACGCGAGGCGTTATTTTTTATTCGTGACGCGGAGACAACACAGTGTCAATCGTTAACGCTGTCTCTCGCTAATTTAACGAAAAAAAACAAAACAAGAATCATATATTGAACATTTTTAATTGCAATTACTACCGACATAAATTTTATGCAAAAGGGGGACACAATCGATTGCACGTAGAATTATCGAGAATACGCAACTAATTGACAGCTCTTTAACAACTATTGATTACTTGTATACTTATTCGAGGAAATACATTTTGCAAGCGCATGTCTGTTATTTTTTATTTATTTTTTGTCTACACTCTACACCATATGCATACGTACACAACCGAGACCGTCGACGAGGCGTGTGGTCAGAGATTCGTTTGAGTTTTGAACATTTTCACAGAGAACGATTTCAAAGTCGCATCTCACGGTCTCTGATCACCGTTCTGGTGCTCTCTCGAACAATCAGCATTTGCGTGTTTTCACGAAACGCGCACAAGCGTTGCACCTCGCAGTTGGCATGCGGCCACGCATGATTAGTATTATTATTATTATCTCGATGTGCAATAATCGAGTCATTGAATTGTCTGCATGCTGATGCCATGTGCCTTTACACCAGTTTCCTCTGTTTTATCCTTACGTATTTTTCGTTTTGCAACGGTTAGCGAACGAAGTATCGGCAAAAAGATTTGGATTGATCCTTCGGGCAATAGACGTTAATGGAAAGATCAAAGGAAAGAGAATCGAGATACGGAACGGATTGATTTAGACGCGGCCCGTAAGTCTCGAGGGACGTATCAAGGTCTGGAATCGAGGAGAGTACAGGAAATGTTCTATTAGTTTTGAAACCGTAACATCTGTTATTTTCTTTGCTCGGAAGCAATTAGGGAATGTCAACAGACGGTTGAGCCGAGATAAATGTCTACAACTTCTCGAAATTACCGCATTTCTTTGTCGAGAAATGAGTTTCAGGATTAATGATAAATTAAATGGTCAAATGCTTTTTATTCTTCAAAATTTAACAAATTTAATGATATTTTATAATTTGAAAAAGTAAGCAGTATCTATGCACTAAAATAATTTATGCATTCATCGTTAATTATTTGATTAGAGAAAGGTGAACGAGTAAAGTCACGAAAAGAGCGCAGCTCTGAATGCTTGATAGGAATTTTTAATGACTGGCCATAGTTTCTATTTGACTTTATTTAGTTTTGAATACATCACGGGACACACGAACATGAAAATTATCATTCGAAATACGGAAAATAATTCTCTGAATCTCTTAAGACGTAACTATTCGTTAAATGTCTTTAAACAGAGATGAAAAATTAGAGCGAGACTGGATTAACCACGAATAACAAGGAGTATGTAATTACGAGAGTTATTGGAGCATTAGTAAGAAGCTGAGAGGGAAAAGAATTTATGCAAACTATGTCTCTAACCCGAGCTTTAATCTGATGAGCACAGTTTCCTGAAAATTCGCGTAGAAACTCTCCTTTTCCAGAGCACGTTTCACCGAAGTAGGAAGTATCAGTATTTATCGGTGAAGAACTGAGAACTATACTTCACGTCAGAATGTCCGCTATATTAATATATGTTTGAAACATAATCATTTGCTATATTATCAAAGTAAATTATCGTTAAATGTGTTACAATTTAACATACTTTAATCAAAGTCGTAACACTAAGCTTTAAGTATCCTCTCGATCAAACTGTTAAGTTGTCAATGAATGTAAAACATTACTGCTGACTTTATAGTTATAAAAAAAACGTAAAAAATACAAAAGTGCATGAAGTATCAACAGCAAGATGCATATCGTGACGTTTAATGGATTAAAGAACATTCTTATTTAATTCGATTCCTTAAATTGATTCCACGCCTTCTTGAACATGGTATCAGAAAATAGCCGACTGCGCATACCTTTTATCAGTGAAAGCCATTTGCCGATACCTCGATCGATAGTCCGAGCGCATTCACACGTATCCTCTTTATCTTGGATTTTCTTTATTTGCCCGTTTGCCCGTTCGTTTGCCTTGTTGACGCACGATATTGGCGTATCTCGGCTTCGGGCACGCGTATCAGCATCATCAACAACAGAGCAGCGGCCAAGGGACAAAGCGGAGAGACAGAGGAAGCAGGATCGAAGGGAAGAATCAGAGAGGTAGATCCACCGCAACGGTGGAGAGGATCGTCCGCGTCGAAGACGTCCGATCAGGTCGTTCGAAGCGGGTGTAGGGTTTTCGTCATCGTGGGCGAGGAACAGCCAGCAGGGACGTCGCCATGCCGGCAGGTATTGGCGCTTCGTACAGGTCGTTAGGCGACCTGGGCGAAGACGTGTACAAAAGCACGACGATCGTCGACCAAACGCAGACCACCGGGCAAAGCGTCCTCGAGAGCGTCAAGAAGGCTTTCAGTTTTGCCTCGCCCAAGGTCGAGCTCAGGAAAAAGGACCCGCTGATCGAGGACCGCCGTGAGAGCGTCTCGATCGTCTCAAGGTAATGCCTTATACGATATTGTCCGCGCGTCGTATACACAGGGGAAAAACCGGTCGGCAGGTAGGGGTGACGGTCGCGGGACACGTTTCTTCTTTGGTCTCTGCGTTTGCTTCTCGACCTCGAGCCCACCTCTTGTCTCTCTATTCAATCAAGGGCGAATCGATGTCGCCGTTAGAACAGTGATTCGAATCGAATATCTGGTGCACCCGGATATCAGTAATATACCTGGGAATCTCGAACAGATGAAACAATCGAGAATCTCGAGCTAGAAATCATTGGTCTCTTGATCTTTTTCTTCGACGTCGACGGATCGCCAATGAGCAGGTCCAAATGTCAATTGGAAATTGAGAAAAGCGATTGACATGTATCTACCGAGATCCTTGGCTATTTTATTCACCTTCCATGGGCATACTTATGTTTCGCACCTTTCGTAATCACTCTGGATCATTTATGTGCAGTCATATGTGGGTCATTTATGTATGCAGTTTCAAGTTTCAAAAAATCTTTACCAATTTTGAGATACTAATTCAAGTTGCTACTTTATTATAAATAAAAATATTAATGGGTTAAGTAAGGAAAAATCCACATCTGGAATGAAATTTTCAAAAGTACAATTCTCGCGTGGTCATAAACGATCCCGTATGCCTATGGAGGATTAATGTTCGGAGACACCCAGATATTTTATAAATTATATCTAAGTCTTTTTCGCTAACCACGAGACGACATTAATCGTATTTAAGAGAAACGTAGTGTAGAAAGACAAACGCGATCAATGACGAAGTAACCTGAACAGAGACTAAGGAGGTCGTGAATGATCGGTCCGAGGTCGAAAACGTTGGCTCTACGGTTAGAGTGCTTTTGCTATTGGCCACGGTGGTAGACTGGCGCCGGTCGAGGAATCGATCGCTACAGTTTCCTGCCCTTTTTAAATTGCTTGTAACTAAAATAACGAGGAAATACTTGGTGCGGGTTGCGGGAAATACAATTAAAGCAAAGAGAAACAACTTCCCAATTATTAAAATTCATCACCGTTAAAACATCTGACTTACTAACTGCATGCATTAACGAGCGTGAAAAATGGAACTTGTAAAAACAGAACGTTCGTACTTCGTCTACCTAGTTTGTTGTTGGCCTGAATTTAAAGGATCGTATTTTGTGGATACACGTATTCCTTTATTCGCCGCTATATTGAACTCTGCAACTGGAATCTATACATATATTGTGTTAAGACAAACAACGGGATGGTACATACGAACGAGCTTGGAATATCGCGCAATATCTCACCAGAGGAAAACGTTTAGAACCAAAACAGACAACGTTTGTCCGTATGAAAATATCTATTAAAAATGGGAAATACAATTCCGATATTCCTGTTTATTTAAATACCAATCGCGTTTTTCTCGAATGACAAGGCATTCATCTTGTTCATGCCATTTAGATAAAGAATCGAAAACGCGATCAAATTAATGTGGTCCCAACGATTTAGATCCAGCAACCATTATTTATTTGATGCGTGAACACTTTCGAGTTTTATACACTTTGTACAAAATTGAACACGACACGACACATGGCTATCAGAATAATCAAAGACTGGTTTAACCTTAAGCACGGACGGACTTTAGGACCGGAAGTTGGTGGCGCGACTATTGATCGGCCTGGGTACAAAAGCAGGCCACGAGGTAAGCCGCATCATGCGACCTGAGCGTCACTCCTTACATCGAAATTTCTATCGCGCGTATCGCTATCATTGCTTGGATTTTTGATTTCCCCATAAAAACTATCTGTTCGTCATGTCGTATGTGCCCGTCGCTTCTGCTAGCTGTTCATGCACTGACTTGTTTCTTAACATTGGTGATAAGCTTTTAACAAAAATTACATTGCAACTGCACTGTGTAATCATAATATCTTATGGAAAAGAGGAACATCATATCTCTGTCACGCGACCGCGTGCCTTCTAGTGTAACAAAGCGTTCTCGTCCTGTCAAGCTATCACCGGTGTATCGTTAGCAATGATCTTTTTTTATTCGCGTGCACGTATGTACGTACGTATATATTCGATTGTTCCTTTGTCCTCGCAACGCTCGAGTTGCATTACCGTGCGGTTCGTGCCGCGCGACAGCGACGCGTGCGTTGCGGAACCGGCTTTTCGGTCCGCGACATCCTCCTCCAGCGAGGTCGATCCACCGAGAACGACTAGCGCAGACCGGTAACCGTACATATTCAACACGATGAGTCTCTCAACCGCATGGATCCGTAATTTCCTGCACAAAATGCTTGGGGCTCCTTTGTCTATCCGGACGATAGCTGCTACAGACGGATGCTCCGTCGTTCCACTTTAAGTTTACCATACTTTCTCCGAGATCTGATTTACTCTTTTAAACTATCGTAGACACGCGACGGAACCCGCGTGACAGTTTGCAAGTTCAAGGGAAAATGCATATTTTTAATCGATCGTGGATTACAATGCGGTAATTCGTACATCCGAATTGCGGTTGAAAGACGAACAGAATGAATTCCCTCCGATGTGGTTAACTGTCTCCTGTTTTTATGACATTTGGAATGAATTTAACGATAGCGCCTGCTAATTGTTGTTGGCACCCAGGTAGAGGCTGGCTAGGGCCGGGCGTTGTTATTATTTGCCGCCATTTTGTTCTAGGGAAAGAAACAGGATGCCGACCGCCGCCACACCCGAGAAATCAGCTCTTTTGGGGTAAGTCTCGCTGAGTGCCACCGTAGAACATCATAGATCATGTACTATCGCGTTCTAACGTTTCATATATACATATATACTTTAATTATGCTCAAGTACATCGGGATTGCGATTAGATTTCATTTATTATAAAAATTCGTCGTAGATAGTTTCCTTATCGCACATCTGAATGTCCTGATCAATGCTCCCTACTGTCTTGAGTAATACTCGTTAACATCCATCCATAGTTCTTTGGGGATTTTAAGATCTCATACAGGAGCTTGGCTTAATGTCGGTAAAGCTGTATGATCATCCCAGTAATTGACAGTTGCGTTATTAAGAGTGGCAAGACCCTACTGTTCACTTTCAGAACTAGAGACAAGCCAAGGTTCGCTCCCGACGAGCGATGATAGGCGTGAACGAGCGAGCACTTGTGTTGATTCTGTCCCATTTCGTAATGTTAACGCAAACGTATCACCTGGAAACGTCTGAATGCATGCAGTGCAAGTGTATCACACCAGTTCCCATTGAACCTGGACACCGTGAATCGATGTTCAAACACGAAATTGCACAGAAATAACATTATCGACGTCGCGTTTCTGAGTCCATCGTATTTTCTGATTCCTCTTCCTGATTTTTTCTTGCCACTGTTGAATCTATTCCAGAAGTCTCTACGCGAAAGCGAATCGATAGGCTGCATTGAGCTAGGGAGGAATGAAATTGTATTGGCAAGGTATTGCGTGCGACCTATTTCTACCGACATTTATTAAATGACCATGTATCGTTTTCGTTGTCCGCGAGAAATACATTTCACTGATTACTGTAGCATGAAATCTGAACGATATCTGGAGCACTGTTTCAAAACCTGTTAGTTTCTCGATTTTAAACGGAAACTCGAATGAATATCAGTGCTACATCGTTTGTTTACACTTCGAATAACATAGTTTCGGTAGCTTCTTGCCAAGTTTCACGCTTGTCGCGATTTGCTCATTCATTTAAATGCAAATTTCCAGCATAATAATTACAGTTTTCGAACACTGCCTCAACTTCTAAGATCCTTGCTTGCACCAATACTTTTAACAAGACGTACTTACAAGCACGTCGAACCATATTCTTTTCAAGTCATAAAAAACTTGGCTACAACGAGGAACTTCTACTCAGGAATTAATAATTCTATGAATATAAAGTCATCGGGTCACGCAGTCGCTCTCAAGTAAAATTTCCAAACTTTTTTACGAAATAAAAGAATGAGTCGATCACTTTCGGGAAGCAAGGTACTTCAAACAAAAGCACCTGCTTAAGTTGAACTATAATTATAATGCTTTTATTACGTAAACGACTTGAAATACGTTTTGTTTATTGTTAGGCTGATTCAACTAATTGTTAGCCGGGGCACTTTCGTGTATGATGCGATATTCTATTTTGAACACATGTATTGTTGGTAAGTCCATATAATTATACCTCGAGAATTACACTTCTGTCTTTTGTCCTCGAATGGTGCTTGACTTGAACGAGTCCGCATCATAAACGACTATCGAATATATCGTGTTTCCAACACGTCCTACAGGTTCCTTCGTATAACGAAGACCAACCGACACGTTCGCTCGTGGTTAATTAAATTTCGAGATTAATTCACCATTGAACGGGGATATGTCATCGACCGTGCGTCATCGTGAGCGATGCGCATTCGACTGAAATATATTTCGTTCAACGAAATGATAGAAAGATTTGTTTTTCGATTTTAACGAACGACCTACAACCAAAATATCGACAGTACACAGCACTCTGGTGTAAAATTCGTTTCTGTCTGTTGGACCGAAATTGGGTAATCAGACGGGCCGACGCCCTACCCTCTATCGAAACGACCTAGTCTTTCTCCAAATCGATCTCCGCTGCGAAGCAATTAGCGGTGAAATTAGGATTCATTACCGGTTATTAGAGTGACGGCACGAGGAGCTTATTGTTCGACGGCAGTAAGTTCAATGTTGAAAATATTTACTTGCGAACGGTCGAAACATTTTCACATTATAAGGAAAGGAATATGGAGGACTTGAGTAATATCGACCAACGCGTTATTTATGTCACAGGCTTGTGATCGTAGACAGTGGCACGTGTCCCTAAAATAGTACCGAGCTCGAGAAAAATTCATATCGCATTCAGCTTGGTACCATATGTTTCATAAATCCGAGATTTTGTGATATCCTTGTGAATAAGTAACACGACTTCTTTTCCTAACGTCGAAATTAGTATATGTATAATAAAAAAATCAGAATCTCCGAACGAAATATTACGTCCATAAAATATTCTATAATTAAACGGAACAGAGAATATTATTGTTTCACGCATAGAATCGCGTACCTGCACAAACTGGACACTTGTCCCTCGTTGGTTTTCATTCATATCTGCATAGTACAGTTATATAAAGTGTACGTGGTGACAAATTGTGTTAGCAGGACGTTAAAGTGTAAGAGTTCATTATGGCACGACGACACCGTGAACTCGTACGTCATTTTGCTCCATTTCAGCTGAACATTCGGTTCCATGTCACTTGGCGACCTGCCAAGTTCACCTGAAATTCAGGATCCTCAGGCTTCGACTCAATTTCAAACTCGATAAAAACAATGGTATTTTTTCCTATTTGCTATTGCCCTCTCTCAGAAATCTATATCGACTAAACAGTCTGATCGGAAAGTTGTAAAGTTCAAAATCGTAGACTAAATCATAACGCGAAATTGCATTGAAGAGTGCTCTTGCAGTGACGCTTAGAATATTGATTCTCGAGTTTCATTTTGTTATGCATCGGTCGTTAAGACGAAGAAATATTGACGCGAGTATGAAATTATGAACTCGATACGACAACTCGATTACGACACGTCGCCTCACGTCGAGTACAGCGCCGATGGTAATATTAATTATACTTAATTAGAGTGCACAAGCCATATGTCACTCTTTATTTCTAGAATATCTAATGAGCAACAGTTACGCGTGAATGTAAGTTCGCGAAACATTTTAATTAACAACCTGAAGGGTTCTCATGCGTACGTCGCCTCATTCCAGCCGCATTACATTCTGTCATTATTACTATTAACGAGCACGAGCACAAATTTGTCGTGCTATTCACGTGCGACATCACGTACCCCTTAAAAATCAACCGAAATTCAATAGCGTATTCTGCGTCACGTGATTAGAAGTCGCAGCGAAATGGTCGAAAATTAAAACAAAGACCCGAGAATGGCTCGTCCCAAGGATCGCGGAAACGGACACTACAAAGGTAACCAATTGTTCTGCGATAACATCTAATATCTAATTGTAAGCATGGAATGCATAGACGGTACATGATTTTTCTCATCTTTTTGTTATCTAACTTTGAAGTGCATTTTTCATTCCACGTCAACTCGTATCTTTTCTACTCTTACTTAGATGCGATCAGTTTATCTCCGACTGAGGCGGCTTTAGCGAAACACGTTCTGCATTCTGCATTAGATCTCTAGCAAGTTCGAAAGCTTGTCCGGCTTTCGAACGAAAGCCGAACTTTGAAATCCAGAAAGGAAAGACGTAAATCGATCTACCGTCGGCAGCTCGCGTTACATAAATTTCTCTGCGTCGACCGTGAACCGAGCAGAACGGCGGCGAGAGATGAAAAAAATCTGGCATACAGTGCGGTTAATCGATCGGTAAAAAGGGATACGAACCAGATATCGAGTGACCAAGACATATCGTGTGTTCCACCGTGGTGGTTAAACCCGGCTACCTAACGGCGATGGATCGAACGGTTCCTCGAAAATAATCCATTTTCTTCTCTTTATTAAGTCTCGTCACCTTAAACTTCGTACGATCCACTTACCCACCAGCAGCTTTGTATCTCTATACACTTCTATAAACTGATGTCTCTTTAATCTTTGGCTAATACCCAAATTATTCAATGGCTGTTTAGAATCACCTATCGTTTAATACTTATATAAACGTGAGATGCACACTAATTCAGTGCATTCAAGAGGACGTTTAACCATAACTCGAGACTGTCGTAAGTGTTTTTCCTCGCGATTTAATGAATCCGTTATCTGCTTTAGCCACTCTACTCCGGCTCAGGAGAGGTGTACGCGTTGCCGTTTATCTAGCTCCAAATTTAAACGTCGAATTAACTTTTAGAAGAGATGTGCTGCACGCGCGGGTTGCCTGTGATTAATCTGCAGCAGGTTTAACGCTCGGCTTAAACCTCACCGGGTTTTCTCTCAGAATACCTTCAAAACTACTGCCATTTTTTTGCCCGCGAAACTCATTGAAACCGGCCACCGGTTAAATCCAGCTTTTCGCAAATATCGTGCCTATTCAGCACTTCTTTCGTGTGATTCTTTTTCCTACGTGATTCATTTAAACAACGGCTGGCCTGAACGATTTTTTTTTCCACCCACACGTTTAATATGAAACGATTTCGGAGATTTGGTGTTACGTAAAAGAATACTCGGTTTGAGTGTATTCCTCTCTATCAGTGCTTTTATTTATAGGTTTTCCCTGGTAATACAATTTCGAAAAATCTATTTTCATTTATATTATTCGATCAATCATAGGACCTTCTTAGAATTGAATTGTTCCAAAGGGCAAATTATCCTTCACAATTTACATAACTAATACATCTTCCTCTGTATCCTTGTTCGAATGACAAGTTTTCAGCTGAGACTTTGAAAATAATCAAAGAATTCTGTACAAAATGGACAAGAAACATATGTAAATCTGAATTTCAATTTCTACCAAACCAATCGCACCATTGACTCATCAAATACGACAAAAGACTTTCATAGCTGGAAGACAAATTAGTGTATCATATGAATAGAATCATTAATGGTTAACAAAGTGAAAAATGCAGGCCGGAGAGGCAAGCGCATAAGCGCGTTAACAGCACGTCTTTATCGTCGCTGACTTCATCAAGGGACCGGACTTGTGCGGAACCGGAAACGTTAGTGCGACGTGCTGAAGATACGAGAAACCACACACAGATTTGCTGTGCTCGTAAATGCAAACTTGAACGATACGTTTCGGACCACTACAAGTGCCGTTCCAGCTTAAACCCGCAAATAGAACAACCGCGGAATCAACAAGATCGTTACGTCAGCTAAACAAATTCGGAGCAACAGTTTGAAGGAGTACTCGTAAACGAAAATTCCAATTATAGTAACGAACGAATTTTCAAGATGAAGTTTATTATTCATTTCGAGCAATAAGAATCAGCAAGAGCTCTATTGGAACTATGTCAAAAGTGTAATTCAAAAATCTTGGATTTGCATCGCTAAAATCTACGAACTTTTTATTAATTGTCATGTGATAATGGTCAATTAAGATAAGACGAAGTACCTCGAATCTTTAAAGCTACTCCCAACTAATAATCGATAATAACAAATTGCCAATTAGTTCGATGGTACGGTTACTCCTTTATCAAGAAGCTTTTATACGCAATTATTGGTAAATTTCAAATGACAGTGGCCCTTTCATCATAATCTGGCAACGAAAAGAAGAAAACGTAAATGGAGTTTCGTTGAACTTCAAGATATTTCAAATATATGCAGAGGGAATGTTCATCATTATACGAATAAAAAATTTTTTAAATGCTAGGAGACACTCATTCAAGAAGTCTATTGGAGTTTTAAACTCGTTCATATGCAAACTGCTACATTATGTATAATTTCATCGTTTGGATCTCATTTTTCCACTTTCTTTCACATACTGTACATCTCGCATACACCATTTCAATGCCTATTCACGTGATAACATAATCATGCATATTAATATTACCACGGGAACACGACCGTGATATTTAGGTGAATAACGTTAGGTTGCTTTCGTTTGTAAGAAAGACTACAATCGAGAGTCAACAAGAGAACACAGTGTGTTTCGTTACCCATGACTTATGACTTTATCTGCTTATCTCTGTGTGACTTGACGTAATAAATCATGTTCACTTTATAGAAAATTGAATGTACTAGAATCGTCTTAATATTTCAATTTCAGAGGGAAAATTTTCTCTCTATATATTTCTCAGTGAAATTACTATTTTAATGTAGTTCAGAATTCGATTACAAATTCAGAACGATATTCATCATCAAACCAACTGAGTCACTAGCATATCGATTTTCGTATAAAACCTATCCGATACTTTCCAACCATGGTCGTAAATTTCGATTACAATTTTAATGAAAGTTTTTTCAAAAGATCTCTCCGGCAGATGTTACCATTCTAAACCAGAGAATTCCATTTTGTATCTTATCCTCCAGCCGGGATTAGCGTTCCATTCAAACGCCGTGAATAGACGAGTTACAGAATGCAACGAAGTGCATTTACGAAAATGATAACAGAAATTAATGCAAACCGTGTGATACGCTGGAATACTGCAGTAGAATCAAAAAGCAAAAGAATTCTACTGTGCAGCAGAATACTTTTACGAAATTACGTTCGACTGTTAGAAATATTTTACTTTTGCGAGAAAGTACGGAAAAAAGAGAAAACGCGAGAGCAGCATTGTTGAAAAAAGCAATTCATGCAACGTCGCTTCTTTAAATGGCAAAGTAAAAGGAATAATGACTAACAAAGGCGGGAAAAACACGTCAAAAATCGAATGAAAACCTAACTTCCTCACGAGGTCACTGAATGATATTTTCACTAATATTTCTGTAAAAGGGGAACGCTCCTTTATCTCGGTTGAAGCTACAGTAGCGTCAGCATATAAAGGAACAGGTCAGCTCGAGTTCCTGACATTTTCCCGGCAAACTAAATTGGGTCGCACACAAATCCCGTGGAATACAGGTCATCGTAGATTCTTCGAGCGCTAGACTCGAGGCAAAAGGTGCCGGCTATGTCGTACGACTTCGACTATTCAATCGATTAACGCAATCGAATTAATTACTTCCTAAGTCATTACCACGACTTCAATAATAAATTAGGAAACGTATTATGGAATGTCTCACGAATGCGATGAAAGAAAACTGTTACGAGAAACAGTTAAAAGACCATAAAATACTGATTCGCAGAATAATTTGAAAGAATATAACACGAATGACTACGAATTCATCTTTAGATTAACGAAAAATATACGGTCACGCCAGTTTGTGTAAAGAACGTGTACTTAAACAGTGGTTAAACGGCCATTTCGCCGGAGAAAGCGAAATGCACTTCTGCATCATTATAGAAGCTTTAATGTAGAAGAACGTTGACGCTTCCACTTTAAAGCGTGTAGGTGCGGCTGAATGGAGGTGCGAACGTCAAAGGAAAATTGCGCGCACGAATCAAGAAAACTGCTGCGCGGAATTAAAAGCACGTGGCTTCGTTGCGGTGGCACCTTCAGAAAACAGACGATCCGCCGAGCCAAGCCACACTTGGTAGGGCGTGGTTCTTAGAATCGATACCATAAAAAGCTCACCGCACGTACACCTTCTTTTAATGAAATGCACAACTTTACGTGCATGCGTTTATATTAAGCGTTCGCAACGAGTTTTGTGCTAATTTGCCACGGCTTCCGGGGGCGCGTGCTCGTTTACACCCTTCACCGCGCATACCACCGACATTATTTCGACATAGCTATCACTAGCTGTTGAAACATTCAAACTCCGGATGTTTGAAATCCTTATGTAGGAGGTTCAGAATGTTTAAAATTATTTTGAACGTATCCGATATTTTAAAATTCATGATAGAATAACAGGCGAACATTGTTCTTTGCTATTAAGGATGTATTGGCTATATAGTCAATACCAAAAGTTTATGTATCTTAGAAAAACGCATTTCCTGTAATTAAAAATAGTACACTTTTCTTCTAATTTCTCTTAATATTTCTCTTATTAATTAACTTCTAATAATTTTAGCTTTTTAATAGTAATAGGAATCTATAATAAAAAATTCAACATGCCAGCATTGGTTAAGTATATGTATAGCCTATACATCCTTAATATGTGAGATTGAAATCGATTGAAGTTTACATTGATTGCGAGCTGTAAATTTGCAACGCAAATTACTTACACGCTCTATCCTAACTCCTGACTCTCATAACACGAATAGAGATACCTTTTTTGCTACGTTTCAGTTAGTTATTCAATTAATTAATCGTCAATGAATATTTCAATATTTCGTGCAATCATTATTAAGTTCAGGGGTCAAAGGAATATGGATTATTTATCGTCGTACAATTGCAAACAATTTATGTTAATTGCAATAGTTTGTCCAGAGACAACTAGAAATCAATTAGGTTGAAGATTAAGATTAAGTAAATGTAATCTTATTAAGTTAATTATTCTTCCAATGTTACTAATCAGTTCTCATTTCTTTAATGAATAATTGTTGTTTATAATTATAATTACCAAAGTTTATAAACCATATTTTAAAACGAGTCATTAATTTTTATTTGCTGACCAAGTGATAAATAATATTTCAATTAAAACATCGAAATAAAATTCTCAAGATACATGCACGTTAATTTGAAAATACTAAAATTTTGCAAGATCAGCTACTCATTCAAACCATCAGGTTGGCGCGTTTCACATTCTATTGTCGACGTAGCGAATATTTGATGCTATTTCGCCTGTATTGTCCAAATGAACACGAGAATAAGCAACAAAAAATGACGTTTTATAGTTCAGTTTAACCTTTCAGTAAGTCGTTTGTATTAACGAAACCAGCAAATTCTTACTAGTCAAATATAAATTAAATCATATTTCGTGTTCGCTAAAAATAAAAAAAATGTAAGTGTATTGAGTACAACTCGATTTTCCACAATTAAACTTACTACTAACCATCAGCTAAATTGAAACAAAAATTTCTAGACTGTACGTAGTTAACAAAACATCAAAAAATTAAATCTGATTTAACTCATAGTCAGACCTGGGATATCTTATGTTTGTTCATGTAACAAGAATGTTTCAATTGTTTTGCATACACGTCGCGGATTAAGCGATTTCTTTCCATGCGCAGCACGATGCCCTCAGATAGTATGGATGACATCGAACTGAAAAATATTCAGCTCCAATTTCCTCCGCTAAGATGTCTATCGAGAGACGACAGCTCCGTACGAGAGGAGAGGGTGGAAACCGACAAAGGAAGTTTGCTGGTGGCCGTTCAAGGAAATCGAGCGAAACCTGCCATTCTTACGTACCACGACTTAGGCCTTAACTGTGAGTGCACACGCGCATATTTATAATCTACGCTAACTCCAATTCCAAGAAATTAAGAGCAAGATTGAAAATTAAATGAGATCGCATGTTTATCGAGTGAAGCGTATGTTAAAAGAAGTAACGACGATCGTTTCCAGATGTATCGAGCTTCCAGGCGTTCTTCAATTACATCGACATGCGAGTTTTACTCGAAAACTTCTGCGTTTATCACGTAAACGCACCGGGTCAAGAGGAAGGTGCACCAACGCTGCCTGAGGAGTAAGTATCCCTTTTATCGCTAATTTATTCTTTTCGCTTCAAGAACCTCTTCCTGCGACAATAAACTCAATTTATTAATTAAAAGATCGAAGTACCTTTCTTTAGAAATGATTTTTATAAAATATTTTTAACACAAGCGAGCGAATGCATTGTTCCAATTGTCCACAGTCGATAAGCGGACAGCCCTAATTATTATGTATTGTCAACTAGGTTCGTGCAAGGACTGAAGTCCGGTAACGAGTTCACTAATTAACACGCGACGTGGTTATGTAAACGAAACCGGAAAAAAAAACGACAACTGAATTTCTGAAAGTATCCCACGTGCGAGCATACGTCTCGTTGAAGAGCACCGTACGCGCGTCACTTGACGACACGGTGAATTCAATTAGCACGAATCAATGACCTAATTAACGTTCTAATTAGTACCGAAGCCCCGACTATGTCCCGCTTTTGCGTTTTCCACGGATAATTCCTTCCGTCTTAAGAGTCAGTTTTCTTCTTCTTCGTCTTCTTTGCCGTTAAGACCGCGCGGCGACTTCTTCCCTGCGCTTTTTCCTCTATCGCCGTTTGCATTTATACGGATTCAACCTTATCGGTTATTGCTCAATTCCGTAACTCAATCTCTCATGAAATCGGAAAACAGTAACCAACGAAATTGTTTCTGAGATTTTCAAACAACATCAGGTTATTCTTGTTTCCTGTCAGGGGATTACATAATAAGATTCTCCTTGTGTACGATTGGTAAATTAAAAGGAAAATGAAAAAGTAACGTGACGCAATACCTCGGAATCGTTTACAACGTTCAATTAGAAGATTGACGGGGCCTACCTACGACATCCGATTAAGCTGACCTCAAACAATCGAGACTCACCTCGTCAGACACGTACGCGGCTAAACAGTGTTACAGAATAATTTAGACTGCAATGCAGATTCTCATACAACTACGAGAACTATTTTCGCTCGCGTGCCAAATCCCGAAAATTTCATGACGAGTGCTTATCGGAATGTATTGGATCGATAACCGTCGTACTATTCGAAGCATCGATCACATATCGGTATCTCATAGTATGCTATAGTATTTAATAAATTATTCTTAAAATTGTGCTGTCGACTTTAATTTTAAATGTACTTTCAATTTTAAAAATAATGTTTCTTTCTGATACTGTGACTGAAATTAACGTAACGACGTTAACACAAAAATAGCACCACGTGTTTTATTACCTCCATTGCACTACGGGGAATATAAATCTTTCTTAACAATGGAGAAATACATTTAACCTTTAGGATAACTCGATAAATATTAGCGCAGATTAATCAGTAAAACTGGCCAGAATATTGGGCTCCATGTATCATAATTTCTAGTTTAATCTGAATTTATTTAATAATCTAGGATTTGCTTTCGTAACACGATTTCTGAAATACAATGTATGTATATTAACAAATATTCTTTAGCAATATCGGATCTAAAAATATTTCTTATCACATAGAATAAATTGATGTCTTTCCAATCGATTGATATGTCTTCATAAATTTTCTATACTATATTCCAGCTACGTCTATCCGTCCATGGATGAGCTGGCGGAACAGCTGCTCTTTGTGTTGGGTCATTTTGGTCTGAAATCCGTAATCGGTTTCGGAGTCGGCGCCGGGGCCAATATACTAGCGAGATTCACACTTGCTCATCCTGAGAAGGTCAATGCCCTATGCTTGATAAACTGTGTATCGACGCAAGCAGGCTGGATCGAATGGGGCTATCAGAAACTGAACGTTCGCCATCTAAGATCGCAGGGCATGACTCAAGGTGTACTGGACTATTTAATGTGGCATCACTTTGGCAGGGTGAGAACGCTTACTTAAATTTGTTGAGTCTCTAGAAAAATTATTTACACGTATGCATGTTTCTTAATGATCTCATTTGAAAAATGAGATTATATATTTACATGATTCAGTAATGAAAAAAAAACAGTGCAAATAATTTTTATATTTATTATACGTTAGTACAAATCGATCGGACTGGGGGTGAACTAACATGCAGCAGCCTATGTGGTCCACAAAATTTGTTCAAATTAAATTATGTAAACTTTCGCATGGAAACATAGACTGGTAAAATGTCGACCAAAGGACCAAGTCTAGGCAAGACATTGTCGACTGTTTCTGTGCGATGTAGAAAATTGAATTAGGGTTGGCATCGGTAGTAATTCTGTCGCTCTTATTATGCAACACGTAGCTCCATAATAGAGTTCCCGTCTAGAGACCGTAAAAGTCGACGGTGTGAAACCTGTACGATTAATTTTAATTGCGAGATTACGAAAAATTCTATTTGTGCATTTGTTGGACTCGTGTTTCAGGGTACAGAGGAGAGGAATCACGATCTCGTTCAAGTTTACAAGAATTACTTCGAGCGACGTGTAAATCCTACGAATTTAGCGTTATTCATTGATAGTTACGTCCGACGCACGGATCTAAACATCACGAGGGAATTAGATCCGTCCCGGAAGAAGGAAGGCCTCACGCTCGGCGTACCTGTGATGAATATCACGGGAGCCTTGAGTCCGCACGTAGACGATACGGTGACGTTAAATGGACGATTAGATCCGACGAACAGCTCTTGGATGAAGGTACGAGATCCTTGTTATATTAATCGGTCTCTACACTACGACGATTTGTACGTGTGACAAGAAAATATTTAATCATTCATTTGAATTCACTCATTTAGCTCGCACTTTTGTTTTCTTATAAGTAGAT